GCGAAGATCCACAACGTCAGAGACTATAGACTAGACTAGTATTTTCTTCTCCTGGGACGACGTAACCGGTTGAACGGTGAAGAAAGCTTGCGTGTATGTCCAGGTGGGAACTTCTTAGCAAGAAGTCTCATGGACCTGCAGTTCCAACGGAATGGCTGGCTTCCCTCACATCCAGTGGAGCCGGACCTGGGTCGTCCCCCATCTTCCGGGTGGACCTGCTTCCTCTTCTTCCTTTCAAATCGGACCGGTGCATGGGAACCGGTCCCAGGGAGCCTTTGACCTGGAAGGGTGGGGCTTTGGAGCCTGCGCCCGGAGGCTGAGACTGGGATCGGGTCAGGCAGGGTCCGGCCATGTCCGGCCCAGGTGGCGCGGGGCAAAAAGAGGGCATCAAGTGAAGCTGGGAAAGAAGAGGTGGAGCAAAATCAGAGAAAATCAGGTTCTTGGGAGACCGTTGGTATGGTGGCCTCCGGCACATGCCCGGCGCGCTCGTCCAAAGCCTCGCCAGGGTCCCGTCGGACCTTTCGCACCGTCCAGTGCCCCAGGCGCCAGCTCTGTGACCTCCGCAAAGAACGAGAGGCGCCGGGTCGCAGACAAGGGGCGCGTTCTGAGAAAGAGAGCTGGGCAGGTGTCTGGCGTGCACTTTCAGATCACAGTTTGGGTCCAAGAGGTCCTATTTTTGGACGGTTCTGGAACGGTTTGGGTGTTCATGGTGCAATCTCGACTTGTAGAAGACCACATTCTTTCGGTTCCTGGGTTTGTGCGTGTTCCGCCCTCTGTCGCGCCAGGCACAAGTGAAGCGGAAGCATGAGAGCTGGGGGCCAGCAGCCTTTCACCGTTGGGCACACGAACCTCGTGGGTGGTCGTCGGATTGCTACCTTCCAAACATACTGTATATATCTGTATATATATATAAATTGGGTAAGTCTTTGTACGCTTGTGCACTGTATAGTATAGGTGAGAATAGCCTAGGGGATCAATCAGTTTTTCCTGCCCTGACAGAGAAAACCCAAGAAACCAGACACAGATCACCTGCTGCGGGTTTTGGGGTTCGGGGGTGTCACCTTCCGCCTGGGGGTGCGGGTTCGGGTTCTGGCTCACCCAGGCTTCGAAGAGGAGCGCGAAGAGAAGCGGCGCCGCGCCTCGGCGAGAACCGCATGGAGGGGGGTGAACCCCACGGACCCGCGGTGGGGAACAGCGACGACCCCGACGCCTCGACGGTCCTCGGCGCGTGCGACGCGCGATGTCCTGAGGTCGGTGAGGTCGACCCTGAGAGGTGGAGTTTTGTGAGTTACTAGACTGGGTTTTGTTTGGAGGAGCAGCATGAACCTGCAATCGCAAGATGAAAGCAAGCATGGCGACACCTTCCCAATTCTCTTTCTTTCCTGATACTTGTGGCATGTTCTGGTGTAGACTCACTGGCGCTAAAAACATACAAAACACATTGCACGTGTTGGGGTCTTCTGTTGCGTTCCACCAACCAAGCCAGATCCGTTGAGCTTCGCTGCTCTGTGCTGAGCTCCTCCGAGGCTGCGAGGACGAAGCCTTGCAGAGCGCCAAGTCGATGGTGTGGCGCTCGGGCGAGGGAGGGATCCGGGACGGGTCCCCGTTGGGGCAGGCAGGGTTTGGTGGAGGGTCATGTGTGGGTTTGGGTGGAGAGTGCCCGGAAACATCCATGTTTTCATCACATTTATATAGATGGTCCGTAGAGTCGCACCTTCCTGCAGTGCTTGGCCTTTGGACTTCTAGGGGGCTTATATAGACGGAGGACCTCTGGGGCGGTTTGGACTCCAAAAATATGGGCAAACCTCGAAAGGTCGCGGAAGCAGAAAGTAGATCGCTCCAATGGCACCAGGGCAGGAGAAACCGGTGGTCTCTATGGTGGGCCTTGTTGTGGGCCAGCTGGGCCGGCGTGGTGAACTGGATTGCTCCTGACGGGGAAGGATGGCGCGCGCCTCACCAAGAGCTCGTCGCGAAGGGGGAAGATGCCACTGATGTCACTAACGCAGGCTCTTTCCAGTCTAAATGCGTAAGATGTTCTTCCCAAGTCTTTTTGGTGGTGGGGGTGATGTGTTGTGTTTGTGTGGGGTCTTTTGACTTGACTTGGACATCATTTTTCGTAATCTTTCGTCCACCACCCAAGGAGCGTGGTCTGGTACTGCGCTTTGATGCTTGGAGGGACGTGAGGGAATGGAGGAGTTCGAAGAACGCCGTGGAACGACCCAGTTCCGGCCGCATGAGGACACGTGATAGGTCGCTATGATTCGATGACTGACTGGGTCCTGATTCAAACCAACAGAGCAAGGCAGCAAGATCTCCCCCATTGTTGCAATATGCACCATGCGATTCGTGAGATCTGCTGGGAACTGCGACGAGCATCGCCACCAGTTGAGCCGAGTTTTGGCTCGTGGGGTGTGTGGTGCTCACTCTTTACTTTGGGTGCGCCATTAGGTTGAGAGTTGAGACCGAGAACCCCAACAGCTCAGTTTCTAGACTCCTCCTGAAGTCGGGGCCAAGATGGATCAAGAACTCAGGAAGCTGCTCCCCCGTAGGACCCTTGGAGGTTTCGCTCCCTGTCGACCAAGGATGAGGTCCCAGCCTCTTTGAAATGGCGAGACCTTCGGGTGTGCCATGGCATGCTTCCAGAGCTCCTGGTTGGCTGGGACAACAGGTTTTTGGGGCAAAAGGTGGCTGGTCCTCCCAAAGCACCAACTAGGGGAAGGGTGTTGGATCCAAAAGACACAGCCAACAGCTGAGAGGCAAGCAATTTTTCTTGGCTTCATTGGAGACTACTCTAACGCAGCCAATGGCCGCATGGTTTTTCTTTTGAAGGGGACACTTTGGGAGTGCCATCGAACAGACCATTCACAGACATTTTGGCGTGTTTCACTTCCGGTCCTATTCCGGGGGTGTGGCTGGGATCAATCCACGAATGCACACGTGGCGATGCACCGCGTTTGGGGCGAGAGCGCTCCAGGAAGGCTTGACGCCCTATGGCTTTTGCGGCTACGTGGCCCGGCAGGCATTGGTGCTGCTGTTTTGCGCGTTGAGCTGGTTGGTTTGACACGAGCTGGAACTTCCGAAGCGAACTTGTGGTGCTTTTAGGTCGGTGCCCGCGATGCACATCCAGGTCGCAGTTTGGTCACATGTCTGACGTGCTCCTGAGCGCCGAGGTCCGGGTCAAGGACGGGCATGCTTTGGCCCTTCGGCTGGAACGAGGGGAGGTTCTGTGGGGGAAATTGGGGCATGGCTGGGGCCTGGGGAGGGGACATACCAACTCCCATGAGCGAAGACAGAAGGTCTTGTGGTCGGTGTCTTGTGGCTGTAGCCTGTTACTTACAATAGCATCGGGCTTGAAGCCACATCTCTCTGGTTTTCCTCGCTTATATACGGCATTTGTTCTTTCCTCGCGACACTGCCAAGAGTTCTCTTCCGCCGAAGAAGGTCATCGCCGTTTCGCCCTGCTCTGAGGTTCAGATGCGGGAGGAGCAAGGTGTCTTTGCGGTGATGGGCTGTGCCAAGGAGGAGGGATGAGATGACCTTCCGTATCGAAGCATCTCTGGACCCTGGACCTTGAACTTGGGGTGTCCTGGCTGGAGATCCCTAGGCTAGGTAGTGGGTGGGGCGAGCTTCCAGCCAGGTGACCTCTGAGTTCCGGAAGGTGCTGGTATTCGAGCAGCGGGTAGGAACAGGGAAAGGGAGAGGAGTGGGCAAGAAACCTCCACATGGTGGCTTGAGTGGCCTTGAGTGGCCTACGACACTACTTCGGGGAAGGCTCTCACTTGGCAACTGGTTGGCACTGCTTGTCGTGACCTCTGTTTGCTCATTGGCTTCGGGAGCACTAGATGATGAACACCTTGCCTTTCATTCTTACCTTGTTTCTTGAGGCGCGTGAGTCACTGGAGCTACTGCTCTATCATTTATCAGTAGCTGAAGAGGAGCCTTCTATCAGTACCACCCTGCTTTTCGTCCTGACGCTCTCCTTCATAGGATGAGGGCTTCCTTTGCGTCTCGTGCCATGGCCGTGAAGGGTGTTCAGGGTGGCTTGAGCGTGTGCCCGTCCCAATGAATGCCACGGTTCTTTTCATCTCTGGACTTTTGACAAACGGTTGATGGTCGCATGAGGCTCGGTTGAGTGTCTTCTTAAATCTGCGTTTCTTCGCGATCCGCGTCGAGTCGGGTTTGGTGGGCACTTGACCTGAAGCCAGATTAGTTCTTGTGGGGGGTTGCATTTGATTGCTATAGCTGGTTTATGTGGTGCGTGCCCCAATGTTTAAGGGTCTACTGAACAAGTTCGGCTGATTTGGTGGGCAATATGTAGAATAAGGAGATTGACCCGCAACACTTTGCGGACCTCACGTGAGTTCAACTCCCCACTTCTTCTTCACTGTGAAGAGCATGAGGTTCTTTGCACTATGCGATGTCAAGTGGAAGTTCCCAAGTAGACCCTGGTTTTGCATAGGGACCAAGTAGGGTTCCTCTTGAGGCCTTGGTTGAAAAAGTTCGCCAGTAGACCCGGTGGGTTAGGGCTTTTTCCACCAAGTCCTCTTCTCCACCGCCGACCCCACCAGACCTCGGCCCCAGGGGGTTCGAGAGTGGAACGTCGGAAGGGTGCTCCGCAGGCGTCGCCCGAAGCGCCCGACAGGGAAAAAGCCACGTTTTAAGGAGCCAACGGACGCAGACAAGAGCAACAGGAGCGTGATTTAGGGACCGAGAGATACTCCACAGCCTTTACAAACTCCACAAAAAGCATCTTCCGGTCTCAGTGATTGATGGGTCCCTTCTTGTCCCTCGAACTCATTTGCAGAAGGAAACGTCAGGAAACACCATTAAACACTGGATATATATATATATACTTCACCAGGCGAGTAAGCACCCAAACCTCCTCCTTGCCACAGGAATTCATGATCAGTTTCTATTTGTTCTCTTTTAATCGGCTTGCCCCTGAGGCCTGAATCCCCCACCTCCTGGGGGTTGGGCCGTTTCGTTTCCACCTGCGCGCCATGGCGCGTGGCTCTTCTCGAGGGAGTGCGATCATGGGGCCACTGTGTGTATGTGTGGCGTGGCGGCAGAGGTGATCAGGGGCCGTACAGTGGTTTCAGAGGTTCGACGACACGAAACCCAAGATGTCCTCTAGATGAGGGCCCATCTAGAACGAGGGCATTGTGCCATCGAATCTGCTCCCAACCCACTATTTGCAGTTATGTGCAGTCATCCAGGCTATATTATGTGTATGTAATATATATAATGTATATGTCTCACTTCATCCACGGTGATCCTTCTTGGCCCGCATAACTGCACCCTCTCACTGCAGTGGTTTTCTCAGCTCCTCAGTCTGGCAGAAAACAAGGCAAAATAACATAACATAAGTGTTTAGTTTGGTCAAAACAGACAGAGCCAGACCACTGCAAAGATGCAAGTGCGATGTTCACAGTCGAGCGGTGGTTGGACCGATCCAGATCTGATTCACACAAGGAAGACGAGAATTGCATGCCACGACATGAGGGACTGCTGGACCACTGGGTGAGTTTGTCTACAGCACATGGTGACCCTGCTTTGCTCATTCTTCCGGACATTTGGCCCCATCCACCGCTTTTTCATTTTTCCACCCGAATTCCGGGTCAAGCTATATATATATATATATATTTATCTAGATAGATTACATAATAAAATGCAATAGACTATAGTAAAGCAAACGTATACTGTACATTATATATATGCAATGTAATGTAATGCAATGCAATGCAATGGAATGTATTTAATATGTATGTATTGTATGGTATGGTATGGTATGGTATGGCATGGCATGGCATGGCATGGCATGTATGTATGTATGTATGTATGTATGTGTGTGTAACCTTTGGAGTCACAAGGTTCCTTTTGGAGTGTTTACTTTGTGTTTTGATTCGTAAGCAGGGGGGCAATCCCACATTGCAGTTGATTGCCCAACGAAGAGGGCTGCAATTGTGGCTGATATCTGGAAAGGACGCTTTCCAGACGTACCTGCTTCTTTTGAACTGTTGACCACTCCTTAAAGGGCTAGTGAGCTCTGCAGATGTGCACGAACGCCGTCACCCTGTCGTTTCGACCTCGACTTGAGCTTTTGGCCCCTTCTGCTTTTGAAGACTTCCAGGGCCGGTGGTTCTTACTTGTACCCTTAGGAAATGGTACCCTAGGCCGGCGTGTAGCACCGCTGTCCAATCAGTACGCACAATCATAAGTGTGTCTGGCCTCGTGCCAGCCCAGGGTGAGCCCGCAGAGTGCCCCCTCTAAACCCGTTGAACGGGGGTTTGTCGAACGTATCCCCTGCCCAGATACACAGCAGCTCGCAGCGAGCGTAGGTGGCCTAGGCCGAGAGAACTCAGATTTTGTCGAATTCTTGAATTCCAAGCTGGCTCATGCCTTTATGTGACCGCAGCGGTCCAAGCTGGCTTAACGCCTCAACGTGGTCAGAGCGACCAAAGCTTTTTTGAGGTTCGTTGGAACCTGCCGGGATCTTAATCCCCTTCCTCCCCCCACCTCCTTCTCTTCCCTCTTCGCCTGTTGTGGTGTTCCTGGATGTAATACTCAGGTTCATCCCTCTCGCTGGTGTGTCCCTGGACGCTTGTTCGTAGCTGGGAACACCTGTCCTCTTCCTTCTCTTTTCCCTCTCTCTCTCTCTCTTTTCTCCTTCCTTTCCTTTCCCTCCTTCTTGTTTGGGTGTCCCTGGATGCTTTTGTCATAGCTGGGACCCCTTCTCCCCTCTTCTTTTGGTGTGTCCTTGGACGCTTGTGTCGTAGCTGGGAACAGCTTCTTCCTGGCTCCTGGCCTTACTACTAGGTGCAAGGACGCTACTAGGGATGAGAAGCCTCCCCTCAGGGAGGCGTGTGTGTGTGTAACCTTTGGAGTCACAAGGTTCCTTTTGGAGTGTTTACTTTGTGTTTTGATTCGTAAGCAGGGGGGCAATCCCACATTGCAGTTGATTGCCCAACGAAGAGGGCTGCAATTGTGGCTGATATCTGGAAAGGACGCTTTCCAGACGTACCTGTTTCTTTTGAACTGTTGACCAAGCCGTGACTCTACTCCTTAAAGGGCTAGTGAGCTCCGCAGATGTGCACGAACGCCGTCACCCTGTCGTTTCGACCTCGACTTGTGCTTTTGGCCCCTTCTCCTTTTGAAGACCTCCAGGTGCGGTGGTTCTTACTTGTACTCTCAGGAAATGGTACCCTAGGCCGGCGTGTGGCACCGCTGTCCAGTCAGTACGCGCAATCATGAGTGTGTGTCTGTATGTGTGTGTGTATGTATGTATGTATGTATGTGTGTATGTATGTATGTACGTACGTATGTATGTATGTAATGCATGTAGGTAATGCATGTAATTAATGAATGCAATGTTATGTTATGCTATGTTATGTAAGTAAGTATGTATGTATGTATGTACTTATGTAATGTAATGTAATGTAATGTATGGTAAGGTAATGTAATGTTTGTAATGTAATGTGATGTGATGCAATGTAATGTGATATATGTTAGTCATGTATGTATGGTAGTTATGTATGTATGTTAGTGTCTGTCTATATATAATGTAATGTAATGTAATGTAATTATGTAAGTATGTATGCATGTCTGTATGTATGTGTATATGTATATGTATATGTATGTAGATGTTAATTTATGTATGTATATGTTATTATACGTATGTATACGTGTGTGTGTATGCATGTGTATGTATGTGCATGTATGTGTGTGTATGTGTATGTGTATGCCTGTATATATTTATTTGTATGTATGCAATGTAATGTGATGTAATGTAGTGTAATGTAATGTAATGTGTTGTAACGCAATGTGATGTATTGTATTGTATTGTGTTGTATTGTATTGTATTGTAATGTAATGTAATGTATAATGCAGTGTAATGTAGTGGTATGTAATGGATGGTATGTGTGTAATGTAATGTAATGTACTGTATTGTAATGTCATGTAATGCAATGTAATTGTATGTATGGATGTATGCATGCAATGTTTTGTATGTATGTATGTATGTGAGTATGTATGTATGTATGTATGTATGTATGTATGTATGTATGTATGTATGTATGTATGTATATATTTCCCCAAACAGTTTACTGTTAGGGGTTCTCAATGCTTTAAAGAATGGTCGCCTTGGTGCTGGATGGTCTGGTCGGGTTCCCGGCCGGCTTGTCTCCCACTTCCTTTTATTTGTCTCCCAGTTCTTTTCATTTGTCTCCCAAGCTCGGTGCTTGTGGTCGGGTTCGCGGCTGGCTTGTCTCCCACTTCCTTTCATTTGTCTCCCACTTCTTTTCATTTGTCTCCCAGTTCTTTTCATTTGTCTCCCAGGCTGGGTGCTTGTGGTCGGGTTCCCGGCTGGCTTGTCTCCCACTTCCTTTCATTTGTCTCCCATTTCTTTTCATTTGTCTTCCAGTTCTTTTCATTTGTCTCCCAGGCTGGGTGCTTGTGGTCGGGTTCCCAGCTGGCTTGTCTCCCACTTCCTTTCATTTGTCTCCCACTTCTTTTCATTTGTCTCCCACTTCTTTTCATTTGTCTCCCAGTTCATTTCATTTGTCTCCCAGTTCTTTTCATTTTTGGTCTCCCAGGCTGGGTGCTTGTGGTCGGGTTCCCGGCTGGCTTGTCTCGCACTTCCTTTCCCACTTCTTTTCATTTGTCTCCCAGTTCTTTTCATTGTCTCCCAGGCTGGGTGCTTGTGGTCGCGGGTTTGCGGCTGGCTTGTCTCCCACTTCCTTTCATTTGTCTCCCACTTCCTTTCATGTGTCTTTTCATTTGTCTCCCACTTCTTATCATTTGTCTCCCAGGCTGGGTGCTCGTGGTCGGGTTTCCGGCTGGCTTATCTCCCACTTCCTTTCATATGTCTCCCACTTCTTTTCATTTGTCTCCCTGGGTGCTTGTGGTCGGGTTTGCGGCTGGCTTGTCTCCCACGTGCTTTCATTTGTCTCCCACTTCTTTCATTTGTCTTCCAGTTCTTTTCATTTGTCTCCCAATTCTTTTCATTCCCCAAGCAGTTTACTGTTAGGGGTTCTCAATGCTTTAAAGAATGGTCGCCTTGGTGCTGGATGGTCTGGTCGGGTTCCCAGCCGGCTTGTCTCCCACTTCCTTTGTCTCCCAGTTCTTTTCAGTCGGGGTTCCCGGCTGGCTTGTCTCCCACTTCCTTTCATTTGCCTCCCAATTCTTTTCATTTGTCTCCGCCACTTCCTTTCATTTGTCTCCCACTTCTTTTCATTGTCTCCCAGGCTGTGTGCTTGTGGTCGGGTTCCGGGCCGGCTTGTCTCCCACTTCCTTTCATTTGTCTCCCACTTCTTTTCATTTGTCTCCCAGGCTGGGTGCTTGTGGTCGGGTTCCCGGCCAGCTTGTCTCCCACTTCCTTTCATTTGTCTCCCACTTCTTTTCTGCTTGTGGTCGGGTTCCCGGCCGGC